AAAATCCAATGTCAATTCAACATCTAATGTCAATGCTAATTTGATGTCCAATACCGACATCGGCTGACACTGATATTTGTTGTTTTTAGGTTGTGTTACCAAAATCCAACATCAAATTGGCGTCAAATACTGACGTTAACCCGAACATCAGTTATATTGACGTCCTGTGCCTGCTGGGCTACATCATATAATAAATTATAATATGAATTTGAGTCTCACAACAGTGATGTCGTGCTGAGGTCACCAGAGGTCATATCTTGGTATCACATTAACAGGTCAGAGCTGTTAAGCAACAGGTGTAGCGTGTCTTTCTCAGGTTCGTACACACCTCAGACGTGTCCTGGAGGATTATTTGGACTGTCTGAACGCTGTGGTCACTTTGACACTCAACGCCACCTGTTACAGCATCTGTTTATCAGAGACGAACACACAACAAACAGATCACAGCGAGGTCTGATCCTTCAGCACTGCCAATAAAACACACTGTTACTATTGAACAGATTTAGTGTTAGTTGTTAACTCAGTCATCAGTAGTACTACCCTTACGAAAAAGAAGTTTATTCAAGTGTGCTATTTTGATGTAAACTAGTTGTGTACTCAAAGTTTACTACTGTTATACTTAAAGTATACTTAAAAGTATACTTTTATATATTAGAAAGTGGGCCAATTTAGTCCCAAGGAGTGTTGAAATAGTACACTTACAAGTATACTACTAGTGCACTGATATTTGTATACTTACTACATAAAGTATACTTAAAAATATTCTTGAACTTTACTTAAGTATACTTACTAAAATAAACTTGAAGTATACTACTTTTTGGTAAGGGTAGTGCTCATATCTAATGCCAAAGATATAAATTAAATGATTCTTTCTGTATGTGAAGGACATACCAATGATAAATCAATGTTAATCTGCATTATATAACTGTAGGGATTTTTTTGTATAAAAGAACATACTAAAGGTCAAATTTAACAAACAAAAGTGTGAGTTTACACTTAATTCTCTTAGAATTTACGTTTATGTTATTGACAGTTGTCTTTCAAAACTTTTTAAATATCACAGCAGGATCATGTGGGTCTGTCCATGTGTGAGCAGTCAATCTGTCCCGTGTTCGTCCCTGTAGAGAAGCATTCATTCATTTGACCTGCTGCAGATAATCAGTCTGTCTGTGGGTCTGAATTAAACTGATCTTCTCATTCTCATTCTGCAGGCCAAGCTGCTTTGCTGACGGACCACACACACATAAACAAATAAGATCCCTACTGCGTTTCTGTTGCTGTAATGTCTTATATTTTAAAAGAAATTATTTAGACTTGGGTTTTCTGGGACACATTGTCTGTCATCTACGCTTTGGCCGTCACCAGTTAGAATTAAACAATCTATTTAAATTCAAGTCAGATTTTGATTAATCTTCTTCATGTCACAGTTTTAAAATAGTAACTGCTCTGACATATTAATACTGATGGTTTATTGGTGAAGCTTATGAAGAAAAGTAATATATTACAAATAAAGAAAATGAAGCAAAGAAATACTGCTATCTAAAAATGTCTAAAAATTATTTTGCTATTTGAATCATGTATAACCGTCTCGTATTATTTTTAAAAAATAATATTAAATAATATCCGCCTTATTTTGCAATGCATAAATATGATATTTTCTATGAATAAGTGCAGTAAACACTATTTGCACAACAAACCAGTGTGATTATGATTATGAGAATACATAAAGTAATACGGCAACAATCAGTTTGCGATATCAAGCAGCATAACGAGTTGTTTCAAACGGCTAAAAATAACTTGAAGCGGATGACACCGGAAGTCTCGCACATCTCTCAGTAATAACGTCACCATATGAAGATCTTCATTTAATAGGCTGAAATAGAACCCACATAAATGATGGTTTCTATGAGATTCACCGTTAAATGATTTAGATTTAACAAATTCATAAATAAGTAAATAACACAAAGTGTGTCAAACCATATAGCAATATTTTATTAATAGGTCTGCTATTTTACCAGAACAGGACAGAAATCACCAGGGATGTAAAATACTTGAGTAATTTTACTTGATTACTGTACTTGATTTTGGGGTATTTGTACTTTATTCAACTAACTACATGTACTTTTACTTGATTAGATTGCTGAGGAAAAACTGTACTTTTTACTCCTTACAAACTTTTTTTTTTTGCATTTTTATTTTATCTCATGCACATTAAATATGGTAAACAGAAGCTAAAACAGAAGTTATAGATATATTAGTAGTAGTATTTTTTCTTACACATTTCGCTTAAGAAGACATTGATTCATCAACAGGGTTTGTATCGGTTACTGTCGTCTTTGCTGTGTAGTTGAAAGTTTAATCGCAACATATAATCATTGTTAATAGTGTTCACCGTCTGTTTGATTACAATTTGTAACTAACTGCATGCTTTTTACTGTACATTTCTGCCATAGCCACCACTAATAATCTACTCCTAAATACACTGAACAAAATTATAAACGCAACACTTTTGTTTTTGCCCCCATTTTTCATGAGCTGAACTCAAAGATCTAAGACTTTTTCTATGTACACAAAAGGCCTATTTCTCTCAAATATTGTTCACAAATCTGTCTAAATCTGTGTTAGTGAGCACTTCTCCTTTGCCGAGATAATCCATCCACCTCACAGGTGTGGCATATCAAGATGCTGATTAGACAGCATGATTATTGCACAGGTGTGCCTTAGGCTGGCCACAATAAAAGGCCACTCTAAAATGTGCAAATTTAAACATTTTCTGTAAAGCTGCTTTGCAACGATTTGTGTCGTGAAAAGCACTATACAAATAAACTTGAATTGAATTGAATAGTTGAGTAGTTTTTTTAAGCGTTATCTTTGGACAACCTGTACAATTGCATTATGTGTAGAGAGATTTTTTTTCTAAAACTCTTAGTTTGTGTTCATCTGAATAAAGAAAGTCATATACATATGGGATGGCATGATGGTGTAAAGGATGGGGTCTCCCTTTAAGAGCTGTATTTTTTGTGTTACACTTTGCTGCATTTTAATTGTTGTTGTCTAGATACTGTAGATGTTTTGACCTACAGCCATTGCTGTCTGACAAAACATTTTATTCAGTATATTTTTAAGCAATTTCACTTTGCATTGAGAAGATGACTCAACATTGTGAATCAAGAATGCACTTGTTTTTTTTAACTCAAGTAGCCTACAGTTTAAACGTGTACTTTTTTTTTTTTTTACTCAAGTCAGGGGCGAACTTAACCAATAAGCGAGGTAAGCGGCCGCTTAGGGCCCTGGGGAGTCAGGGGACCCCATCTGATATTGGCGAAACATATTTGGCAATATATTTGGTGTGTATTTGTGTTATGAAGAGCGTAAAATGTTCACTTACCACTCTAAACGCCTTGTTTTTTTAAGCGCTGAGTGCTGCAAGCTCGCGAATCTTCTCATTATAAAAATGTGCAGATACAATGAAAATAAGAGATTCATTTTGCAGTGCAGAGAGCTTTATTGTGAGATTGCAGCGTTTGGTGATTATAGAGGAAGCGCTCTTTCTAGGCTCTTTCTAGGCTGTATAATCCTGTCTGAGTGTCTCAGAATGGATATATTAACATCAGAGAAGAAAGAATCGTGTTTCTTGTCATGATTTTATTTGTCTTGAGGTTTCAAAATGACTCTCTTGCGTGCGGTCCCTAGGCGCGCCGGCGCGAACTGCTGCACGAATGTGATGACTGGAGATTTTCGCTCAATAATAGATTACATTTTTGGTTTGTTTCTAAGCAAACCCTACCGTATACCTTAAGAACACTTGGAATACGGAACGAGTTGCATGGGATCATTTTATGATATTTGAATCCTTTTTGTAAAAAGAAGTTTACAATTCATTAAATGGACAAGTGCAAGCATTGTTTTTAATAATGTCTTCTTTTGTGATCCGAAGAATAAGGTAGTCTAATTTACTTAAGTTGTGAAGGGGTAAATAAACTATAACCTATGAGAGAGAGAGAGAGCGAGCAAAATAAGGGTTAGGCATAAAAGAGCACACATAATTATTGTGTTGGGGCCCATATCTGGAATTTGCTTAGGGCCCCCAAATCACTAAGCCCGCCCCTGACTAAAGTAGATATATTTTTGCTAGATACTTTTAGTTTTAATTGAGTAAAAATTTCATTGAGTATCTGTACTTTCACTTGAGTATAATTTTAGAGTAGCCTAATTTTACATCCATACTTGCCTACCCCTGACTTAGAGGGTCAGATTCACGTCTACTCTGACCAGAAGAGGGCAGAAGTATCCCGTGACGCTCGTGAACAAGAGCTCCTCAGCGTGACGTATGGCGCTTCCCGCTGGGCTTTTAGCAGCCTGACAGCTGAGCCCCATACACCGCTTTTCCAGCCAATCACAGAGCAGGAAGCAAGGTCACCGTTCCCATAGGAACAGAGCCGGCGGGAGGAAAACGGGACAAATAGGAAGAGCAGCATAATAAATGAACTTATTTTCATCTCTCTCTGTTTCTCTTCACACTCTCGCGTGATACGCTCAGAGTCGCGTCTGTTTTCCACTAATGACAAACTCTCATGAGAGGAGACCTATGGAGGAGACGAGACTGATTTAATTTTAAATGTACATATTAATAAAATCTAAAAATATTTCCTCACCCCCGTGTGTTTGATCAAACCCTGAGGATTTTAGCAAATTGTTCCTGCTTTTTGTCTATATTGACCCGGGGTACCAAAAACGACTAAAGACCATTGTAAAATGCCTATAATAAAAATAGGCTAGTCCTTATGACACATCTCTTATGTTAACGACAGGTTAACAGACCCAAATTTAAGAATCTGCAAGCTGCCTCGAACTTTCAACAGCCAGCGTTAACCTGTTTGCAAGGCCGTGGAGCTATCTTAGCTTTGCAGACATCCCACCCCCGCCCTATTTCATCTTAACCGAAAGTGAAAGTGATGTAGTTGAGTGTAACGAAAAAAGACCAGTGGCCACAGAAAAAAACGGATTTTAAACGCGTGATAATACCAGTTGTAAAGGTAATGCGTCTTGGATGACCACTTCACCGAAAACGCATCTGGCGTACGTACATCGCACTTAACGTTACGATCCGGAGAACGCTTTCGTCATTACGGTCCAACTTTCTGTTTCGAAAAAGGCAGGAGGAAAAGCGCATTATAGATTGTCTAGATTCATTACGCAGCGGTTCATACGCAACGCAAAGGTGAGAACCAGACCCGTTATAAAGCTAAAATATACTCAAATTAATTGAAACGTGTACTGTCCAAGTAGACTATGATTAGTTAGATGTTATAGAAGAAATTGAAGATGTTACTAATTACAGAGTAATAAAAATGTTTATGCATTACAGCGTGTATCATATATATATGTTTGTATTGCTGAACAAAACTTCAATACGTTCATTATTCCCGTTTTAATAAATAAAAGGAGGTTGTCTGATGATTATCATTTTATGAAATATCATAAGAGAAAAGACTGTTTTATTAGATTTAATTTCTAAAATATAAATCCTTGATATTGGTGCTCCATGATCTTTAACCAAAGCAGAAGATGACATTCATTTCACTGGTGGAGATGGGAGTGTAATATTGCAGCCTTTAGAGTCTCTGGAGTATTTCACTGTAAAAGGTCAGGCAGGCATGTTAAATTTAATTGCTTGAGTACAATTATGCAATTAATGGAGGCAGTATCGCTCTTTTAAAAGTGACGTGACATGTGGCCAAGTATGGTGACCCATACTCGGAATTTGTGCTCTGCATTTATCCCATCCAAAGTGCACACGCACAGCAGTGAACACACACACACACCGTGAACACACACCCGGAGCAGTGGGCAGCCATTTTGGCTGCGGCGCCCGGGGAGCAGTTGGGGGTTCGGGGCCTTGCTCTAGGGCACCTCAGTCGTGGTATTGAAGGTGGAAGAGAGCGCTGTACATTCACTCCCCCCACCTACAATCCCTGCCGGTACGAGACTCGAACTATAAAGCCACGACTTCCCCCACAGTTCAGTTTTTACTGAAGCCTTTTCCAATAATGCAGTGTAACTGCATGACCATTGGTTCCTACGGCCATGAAGCCCGCCAAAGCCCGCCAGAATGGGCAGGGCCATCTGGCTATATAAGCGGGCACTTCGCTATAGGATTCAGGTTACTTCAACTAAAACGATGACTGAGTCATGCAGCTGCATAGCATGGCTAGCAACGCAGTACTCGTTCCCGTATCTCAGGGAACCGAGGTTACGTTTGTAACCGAGTACGTTCCCTATCGATACTTCACTCGTACTGCGTCTGCTAAGATGCTATTGGAACCAGTACAATCACGCCATGCTATGGCAGAGGAACGACTACAAGTGTAACCTTGCCCTAGGCACCTCAGGGCCCAAGGGGACAAGAATAGTAAACACCTCCCAAGGCGAACGGGCTAAGCTCACAGAGGTCAAGCCTGGCCTGAGTGATCAGGCAGTACTGCGTATGCAGGTGCGTGCCAGTTATGCAGAAAGAACCCTAGCCTGCAAGGCAGGGACGTCCAGGTTATAAAACCTAGCAAATGTGGACTGCGAGGCCCAACCGGTCACCGCACAAATTTCCGCAATGGACACGCTGCTAGACCATGCCCAAGAAGAGGTGACGCATCTAGTTGAATGGGCTCGTACTCCAATGGGGTATTGCAGGCCCAAGGAAGTGTAGGCTAGCATAATAGCGTCAACTATCCACTTAGAAAATCTCTGCTTCGTGACCGGATTCCCTTTAGCGCGGCCACCGAAGCAAACAAAGAGCTGTTCAGACTGCCTAAACAGGGCGGAACGCTCGATGGAAACTTTCAGCACCCTGACGGGGCAGAGTAAATTCAACTCCTGGTCCTCTTCTGAGGGAGAAAGCGCAGAGAGCACCTTAGGTATATAATCATGCCTCGGTTTCAGGACGACCTTAGAGTCACCAGGCCAAACTCCAGGCAGGTAGGGCTCACAGAGAGCGCCTGTAAGTCTCCCATTCGTTTGACCGATGCTAAAGCTAGCAGAAGAGCGGTTTTCAACGACAGGGACCGAAGGTCAACAGACTGCAGCGGCTCAAAGGGAGGACCCTTCAGGGCCCTCAGAACAGTGGGCAGGTCCCACGTTGGGACAGTGAGGGGACGGGGCGGATTCAACCTCCTAGCCCCCCTCAGAAAACGGACAACAAAGTTGTTTCTGCCCACCGACTGGCCTGCTATAGGGGCATGAGAAGCCGTTATAGCTGCTACATAGACCTTGAGCGTGGATGGGGAGCACCCCTTTTCCAACAGCTCCTGCAGGAAGTACAATATCACCGATACATCACAGACAGGCGGGTCCTCGCCGCGGGTTAAGCACCAGGAGGAGAACACTGACTACTTAAGAGGCGTCTTGTAGACGGAGCTCTAGCCTGAGAAATGGTGTTTAGAACACACTCTGGGAGGCTTGCAGGCTCCCGTTGAGTGGCCAAAGATGCAGAGCCCACAGCTCGGGCTGGGGTTGCCATAGCGTCCTGTTCGCCTGAGAGAGGAGATCCCGCCTCAGGGGAATGGGCCATGGGGCTGCTATGAGCAGCTGCGACAGCTCTGATAACCAATGCTGGTTTCTCCAGAGTGGGGCCACCAGGAGAACCTTGCGTTCTTGTTCCCTGATTCGTCTGATTACCTGCGGGATCAGGGCGTTTGGGGGAAAAGCATAGAGAAGGAGGTTGGGCCAGTCGTGGGCCAACACGTCCTTGTCCCTGGAATAATAAATTGGGCAATGAGAGTTGTCTTTTGAGGCAAAGAGGTCCACCATGATTCAAAAAATAGCAGTCTACCCTGTTGAGAAACCAGCATATGCTGGTTAAGTATGTTTTTGTCAGGATTCTGGACTGTTCTGTGTCGTGTTTTGCCCCTGTTTCTGGTCCTGTGTTTCCTTATTTGGTCCTTCCTGTTTCCATTAGGTTCCCTGATTAGTTCATCATTTGTTTCCAGCTGTGTTTAGTTAATTATCCTCATTTCCCTGTGTACAAAAGTCCTAGTCTGTTCAGTTTGTGTTTGTCAGGTCTACTCGTTCTCTACGTGTGTTGGCTCAAGCTCCTATTGTGGATTATCTCCTGTGTTTCGTGATTAAAGACTGTTAAACGTTTCCTCGTGACTCCAGCGTGTTCCCTCAACAGCGTAACGTGACAGTTTTGAAGCATGGCAGTTGGTTTAAGCTGGTCCGTAGTTGGTCATGAGCTGGTTTAAGCTGGTCATGTGCTGGTCCTGCTCAGCACCAGCTCATAACCAGCTTATAACCAGCTCAGGACCAGCTTAAACCAGCGCATGACCAACCAAAGACCCGCTTAATTTTTTTTTTTGTATTTTATGTATGTATAATCATTTTCTATTTTTAACTCTCTTAAATTCATTTTAAATACATTTTTTAATCATCTTCAAAGTTTTAAAATTTCCTTGTTTTATTTTTGTGATTATTATTTTTTTATGATTATTTTACTTTCTTTTATGTAAAGCACTTTGAATTACCATTGTGTACAAAATGTGCTATATAAATAAACTTGCCTTGCCTTAAACCAGCTCAAACCAGTTGCCATGCTTCAAAACATACCTAACCAACAAGCATATGCAGTTTTTTTTTTCAATGGGGTAGTAGTTTTAGCATATATTTTATAGCATATAATATTAAATATATTGTATCATTTGTCATTCTAAAGGAGAGGGAGGAAGAAAGCTTAGGAAAAAAAGAGAGGGAAAGGAGCTGTAAACCGGACAAGAGTGAATCTGTGGGAAGTGAATTTGAAGATCTGAGTCATCATATCCTGCCAAGCAACATGGGTAAGAAATGTTAATTATAATTGGATAAAATCAATATCTTATACATATCAAGGCCGTTTCACACTGAGCGCGATGTGCAAAAAAAGTGAGGCGAATCACCATGAAGTGCATTTCTTTATCTCGTATATGGATTTAACATCGTCCGCTGCTCAATATACAGCATTAAATTAAGATAAATAAAGTTTGGTTCTATGTCTATTTGCTTTGATATTTCATGTGTAGAAAAATGTTTTCTTTTTTTCAATACGTAAGATCTGGAGAGTGAACACACTCTGATATAAGACTCTGGCACGTGGAAGAAAATGGACAGTGCTCTACAGATCACATAATTAAGTGGAAAATTAATAGAAATTATACTAAGAACATTTGAGAATAAATCTGTTCTCAGATACCAATGATAACAAGAACTCAGCATCCATTCTCTTCTCTCTCGGAATACTCTTCTTCTGTGTTTGTTTACACTGGTTTTCGAAACAGCGCCACCACTCTTCCCCTTTTGTGCAACAGCAGCTGCTCCGGTCACATGAACTTAGCTCAAATCTGATTGGACAGCCCGTTTCATCGCGGAGTGACAGGGAAAAAATCGACACACAGGACGGAAAAGAAAATCCTCGCTTTTTTTGCGCCGCGAATGATCGCGACTGGTGTGAATAGCCCCATAGGGATCTATTGTTTCAATTCAAAAGCATCATCGCGCCGAACATTTGCGTCGAATTTTCACGTTCAGTGTGAAATGGCCTTTAGTGAGCATATTTTAAGATGTTTGTATTTCTGTAATCACATTTTATGAAGACAAAGTGTGCCATTGATACTCTATTTACACGTCTTGATGATGTCAAATCTTGGCTCTCCAAAAATGTTCTCTTCTTGAACACAGATAAAACTGCTAAAAAGTTATTTTTCTTAATCCCTCAGAACATAGGGCAAGTATACTTCAAATCAAATCAACCTCGAGATCCTAAATTCCTTCATCTCTCAGGTTCGGAATCTGGGTGTGGAGTTTGATAATTCCTTGAAATTTGATAAGCAAATAAGTGCTGTTGTAGGTTCTACCGTCTTCCATCTTCAATCTCTTTCTAAAATCAAGCCATTTCTCTCTGAAAGTTCTCTAGAGGTTGCTATCCATGCCTTTATTACGTCTCGGCTGGATTATTGAAACTTCCTCTATTTCGGTATATCAAAGTCTCAAATCTCTTGGTTACAAGTAGTCCAGAATGCAGCAGCAAGATTCCGGAAGTTTGATCATGTTACTCCCCACTTGAGGTCATTGCATTGGCTGCCAGTTCACTACCGAATTAAGTTTAAAATCTTGCTACTTGTCTACAAATCACTTAACAATCTAGCTCCTCCTTATATGTCTGAATTACTCCACCTCTATGCAGCGAGAGAACTAAGACCGGAGGGCAAATTTCTCCTCCGGATCCCAAGAATCCGCTTAAAGACCAGGGGACCTAGAACCTTTGAAGTGGCTGGTCCTACCCTCTGGAACAACTTACCAGTTCATATTAGAATGGCTTTATCTGAGTTCAAGTCCTATCGTAAAACCCATCTCTTCTCCTTGGCTGTTAATATGTAGCTATTGTGTGGCTCTTGCATGGTTTTATTTTTGTTTGCCAATTTTTCTCTCTCGTATTTTATCTTGTATTCCTGTTGTATTTTACTGTTTTGTTGTGCAGCACTTTGGTCGGCCTTGTTCCGTGCTTAAACGTGCTCTAGAAATAAACTGAACTTGAACTTGAACAGTTCTCCTCTATTGCAGAGCCAGGAGAAGCAGCAGCAGGAGAACAAAGGGCAACTCCACAATCACCACTAAAAATAACAACAGCACTGACAGTTGTAACAGCTGCAGTAGTAGTAGGTAATGCAGTAACATCAACAATAGCTGTTGTAGCAGTAGGAGCAGCAGTAGGAGCATCAGCAGGAGCAGCAGCTGGTATTGGCATTTTACAATCACTAACAGGAGCAGTAGCAGTAACAGCAGTAACAGGAGGCCTAGCAGGAACAACAGCAGCAATATTGCAATCATTGTTAGGTGCGCAATCACTAACAGGATCAGCAGTAACTGGAGCATTGGCAGGAGCTGCAATAGTAACAGTAGCAAGAACACAATTACAATGGGCAATAGAAACAATTCAGTGGGTAACAGACACCATACAATGGGTGGTAAACGTTGTGCAAAATATAAAAGCAGCAGTACCTGCATCAAAAGTAATCAGAGGATCAGGATTAGCAGCAGCCATATTAAATCAAGTACTGGCAGCAGTAGAATCTGGTACAGAATCATCTGGACCAGGAACATCTAGACCAGCATCATCTGGATCAAGAGTACCTCGATCAGCAGTATCAGGCCCAACATTATTTGAACTAGGACCCTCAGGACCAGGAGCATCTGGACAAGCAGTATCAAGTCCAGCATCATCTGGACCAGGAACTTCAGGATCAGGAGCATCTGGACTAGCATTATCAGGTCCAGCATCATCTGGACCAGGAGCATCTGGAGCAGCAGTATCAGGTCCAGCATCATCTGGACCAGGAACTTCAGGATCAGGAACATCTGGACTAGCAGTTTCAGGTCCAGCATCATCTGGACCAGGACCTTCTGGACCAGGAGCACCTGGAGCCGCAGTATCAGGTCCAGCATCATCTGGACCAGGAGCATCTGGACCAGCAGTATCAGGTCCACCATCATCCGGACCAGGGCCTTCAGGACCAGGAGCATCTGGAGCAGCAGTATCTGGTCCAGCATCATCCGGACCAGGACCTTCAGGACCAGGAGCATCTGGAGCAGCAGTATCAGGTCCACCATCATCCGGACCAGGGCCTTCAGGACCAGGAGCATCTGGAGCAGCAGTATCTGGTCCAGCATCATCCGGACCAGGACCTTCAGGACCAGGAGCATCTGGAGCAGCAGTATCAGGTCCACCATCATCCGGACCAGGGCCTTCAGGACCAGGAGCATCTGGAGCAGCAGTATCTGGTCCAGCATCATCCGGACCAGGACCTTCAGGACCAGGAGCATCTGGAGCAGCAGTATCAGGTCCACCATCATCTGGACCAGGACCTTCAGGTCCAGGAACATCTGGACCAGCATCATCAGGTCCAGCATCATCTGGATCAGGACCTTCAGGACCAGGAGCACCTGGACCAGCAGCATCAGGGTCAGCAGAATCGGGTCCAGCAGCATCTGGAGCAGCAGGATCAGGATCAACAACTTCTGGAGCAGTAGGATCATCAGCAGCGGTACTAGCAGGATCAGCAGGTGCAGGAGTAGCAGCAGGAACAGGAGCAATTGGAGGAATACTGGGAGGACTTGTGGCAGGAGCAGGATCAGAAAATAATGGATCAATACAGAAAAGGCAATCAGAGAAACAATCAGCAGTGATGGTAAGACAGCAGATTGGTCTGGCAGCTTGTGCAATTTAAGTGTGTGCTTTTAATGTGACTCTCTTTCATAATAGTTACATTACTCCCAGTCTAGGGTTGGGTGCAAGTATAACAGAGGCCAGCTAGTAAGTTCTGTGCAGGCAAATCTCACTCCCCTGATCTCAAGAGGCTCACTAGCGACTGATGCTAGAGGTTGCAGTCTTTAGTGTCTTTGTTATCGCTCTACCTCCCATGCCAGAAATATTGGTTCTAATCCCACTCGGAGCGAGTAAGGAAAGTAGAGCAGGAGGAGTTGCACAAGAAACAAAATAAGAAAATGTTAAAAACAACCAAAAATAATTACAAATTAGGAAGGAACAAGTTGTTCCAATCTGCTGCCAAAAAATTAAACAGCACGACAACCAAATTTAATTAGTTTTTAATTAAGTACAAAATAATAACAATAATACTAACAATAATAACATGTTTCAATAACAACAGGGGCCTACACCATTTAGCTGTCTAGCCAGGTAAGTTTCAGTTTAGTTTGGACCAAACCCTGGGTTTTAGGCAAGTGGATCAGATTTTAGCTGTGTTCATCGCCATAGTAACTTATGCTCTGTGGCTAACCTGCACTTGACTGTGCAATCTGGCATGGCAGCCACAGCCTCGCAAGTGTTTTTTTAAAAACATAAACATGACATCAGAGCTAGTCGAATAACAACTGGACATATTGCTAACTGACATGCATTTTGCAGTGATCACCAATGATCTGTATCATTTCAGTGCAGATTTTGCTCATATCAAATGGGAACATGAGATTAATGTGTCATGCATTTCTTCAACACGCTGTCTGCGAATTGGTGTTTTAAAGGGATAGTTCACCCAAAAATGAAAATTCTGTCATTAATTACTCACCCTCATGTCGTTTCAAACCCGTAAGACCTTCGTTCATCTTCGGAACACAAATTAAGATATTTTTGATGGAATCTGAGAGCTGTCTTACCCTGCATAGACAGCAACACAACTGAAATGTTCCCAAGTCCAGAAACATAGCAAGGAGATCTGTAAAATAATCCATGTGACATCAGTGGTTCATCTGCAATTATACGAAGCTACGAGAATACTTTTTGTGTGCAAAAGAAAAAAAAAACGACTTTATTCAACAAT